CAACGTTTCTGCTGTTGTTCTAGACAATTTCCCTGGAAGCAATCACAAGATGGTCCAACTCACCTTCGATAAGCCATTTTCTGATCCTACCCCGACTAAACCTGCCGTCCTCTACCGACCATGCAATTTGTTACACATGGAATCGCTTTCCGCCCTTCTGAGATCCTTGCACTGGGAAAATTTCTTCCTAACCAATGATCCACAAGTGGCAACCGATGAGTTCTACAAGAACATTGAGATGTGTCTAGATGCTCTAATACCACTGAATTATTGCCGTCATTCCAGAAAAATAAAATTAGAGTCCACCCCGATAATTTTTCACGCAAACTTGCACGACTCCGAAATTACTGCTTGAAAACAAATGACTTCTCCCTAGTATTGCTACACCAAAAAATCCTTGCTCAACTTGACAGACTTTGGCATATCAGCCTTATGGACGTAGAAAGACGGGCGCTAAATAGCATGAATAAAAACCTAGAACTCACTAAGCTGATGAAATATAGAAACAAGAATACGGAAAACCCATCCATCCTGATTTCTGGTAACCAAATAACTAACAATCCAGCTAAAATAAGCAGGGATTACAATAATTACTTTTGTTCTACTTTTAACACCGCTGCTGCGGCTCCCTCGCACATTATCCCTCTGCTTACTGATGACAAGATCTGCACAGTTGATTTTGAACTTCGTGATATAAATCGACTTATCACCTCTACGAAGTCATCATGGTATGCCGGACCTGACAAATTACTACCAACGCTTATAATATACGGTGGATCTGACTTCCCTGTACTACTTTTGAATCTTTTTTCTCTATCCATGAACATCGGTACCGTGCCATCACAGTGGAAGACGGCTGTAGTCATTCCTCACTACAAGTCAGGCTCTGTGCATGAAATGAGCAACTACCGCCCAATAAGCCATACTTCTATCCTCTCTAAAATGATGGAGCGTCACATAAAGTCCAAAACTGTGGACTTCATGATGTCGCGAAATCTTATCAACACCTCACAACACTGCTTCCTAAGCACGCGATCCTGCATAACATGTCAGATAGACTTTCTCAGTCTCCTGACTACTTTGCTCGATGACGATTCATCAGCGATAGTCATCTACCTCGATATGCACAAAGCATTTGATCGTGTCCCTCATAACCACCTCTTATCCAAACTAACTGCATATGGCATAGACAACCCTCTGCTTTCATGGTTTGATTCTTACCTAACGAATAGAACCCAGGTTGTTCAGATCGAGCACGAAACAAGCACGCCAAAGCCTGTCACCAGTGGTGTGATACAAGGTAGTGTTCTGGGACCCTTTTTATTCCTACTTTACGTAAATGATATTTTTGATGTCTTTGCCTCCGGCAAACCTTTCCTGTTTGCCGATGACATCAAAATTCTTTACACTTTTAATCCAACTGAGGTCAGTGATACGCTTAGCGAAATCCAGCATAACTTACGTACACTGGACTCAAGGAGTTCCAAATGGATGATGACATTCTCTACTGATAAATGCCACGTGGTATCCTACAGATGTGATATCACACCAGGTTCGCTAACTATAGATGGTAAACTATTGTCTCACTGCCACACTATCCGTGATTTAGGGATCCACTACTCGAGCACCCTTAACTTTTCCGAACACGCAGGACACACCGCAGCTCAAGCCCGCCGAAGCATTGGGCTTTTGTTCAAAACATTTAACTTAAAAGAATCCATTAACACCATGTATTGAATAAAAACGCGCCCGCTGCTTGAATATGGCTCCATCACCTACTGTAATTCTAGAGTGAGTGATCGTATGGCATTGGAACGTGTTCAAAGAACATTTACTAAGCGTCTTCTAGGCTATTCCACCACCCTATCTTACATGGATCGTTGCGTTGCCTTAAAACTTGATCCACTGTGGCTGCGAAGAATGAAACTTAACCTTTTCATCTTCTTTGATACAATTACCCAAAAAATGCATTCTTCACGCCCATCGGTACAACGAGGAGAATTATCAAATTATCGCACCCGGAATAACAATCACAATAAAGTAAAAGTGAAAAGATCACGAACGAAACTGTCTGACAACTTTTTCCTAAATCGATGCTCCATATTGTGGAACAGGCTTCCATCTGAGATCCGTGCAATCCAGTCAGGGATCAAGTTCCGACACCTTATACATTCCTTTCTAAACGTCGAAACAGCGATCGGTATATTGCAACCTACCTTGACAAGTGAATCCCCGTACGAAATAGGAGCAAGATGGATATAGTATCAAAATCAGGGGATCTTTTCATTCTCCTGTTGCCCGATCTTACTGCCCTCCCCAAATTTACCAGTAGCAATAACGTGTTTTCTAAAGGCAAAAATATCCTGATTAACAATGAAGTTCATACTCACCAAGAAGGAAATGTGCCCTAGAGTTCCTCTCGAGCAAATTATTTCGCATTGGTTCTGCAACGCTAATTATTTTCTACTTATCATTTCCTCTGGACCCATCCCTTAGGTACGAGCTGGTGTGTTACGTGCTCAGGGAAATCAATGTTGATTTAATCCTTCTGCTTTTGGACTGGATCCATTTGATAACAACTTCCGAAAACCTACCATGATCTTCCACGCTTACATTCACTCTGAACAAATCCCCTCAACGAAATCAGC